CAGGATTCCAAGCCCTATGACCTAGCCACTAGGCCGCCACTCCCTTTATTACCACAAAGAAACTAAAACTGCTTTGAGAACTCATCCTATTGAACAACTTTAGCCACATGGCAACAGCTCACACCTTAATGAAGTTTGTAAACTACAAATAATAAATCTGCCATGAGTTTTTCACATTTCTAGAATGTCATGCAAATCTCTAAAACAGTGTTGTCCTATTTCAGTCCCCAAGGGCTGCTATCTTGAATTTTTTTTTGTTCTTCTCCTTGGAGGTACTTACTACCTCCTCAGCATTGCAAAGTTCTGCATATGCCAGCTAATGAGCGATCATTTGACCACGGTGTGTTGAAAAAGATAAGCAAAACATCCAGGATACCTGTTCTTAAGGATGAACTTCAAAATTGTTAGAAGCATAGTGTGGCCATTTGCATTTCAAAAAAGAAAAACAGCAACGGTTGATTACAAAGCTAAACTCAGTCAAAAGGAACGAGTAATGACTAGCTTCCTAGAAATGACGTAGAGTCGAAAGTACAATATTTCATTCAAGTAAAGGTGCTAAATAAATGTGCAGTAATCAAGTAAATGTACTCTATTACTGGTCCCCACTGAGTATTTTAGCAACACCCGGAAAATACAGGTCTTGCACCTCCGAAGGTCACTGGCAGTACTGCACTGTTGCCTCAGTGTTTTGGAATATGATAGCAGATTTCTTTGGATCAACAGATTAAGAATTCATGGAATAAGTTATAAAGGCAAGGCCACATTTCTCATTAAGTTTTATTCTTCATAAGAGAACCAAAAATATGACTGATCAAGTGAGGGTCGTATCTTCGCTAAACAATAAGTTTTACCTTATCTTGCTGTTCTTTTTAAAGGGAGATCAGACAGCCATAAAAGAGTGTTATATGTCACATGACTCATCCAGTGACGCATCTGACTTTCTCACAGGCAAGTTCTTGGGAAGGGAAACCCGCAAGGCGGCATCACCATGTGCCATGTTTATTAACCAGAAAAATAACTTAATATATTTCAAATCAAGTTAACACTTGGGTCAAAAGTTACATGTGTTACTGTAAGACAATTCAAAATTAATATAAACTAGTGTGATAGGCTGCAGTATTTTGAATTTGATATAATATTAAATTCTGGCATCACATTCAAGTCCAATATCGTGTATGTAGGTTTTACACGGAAGAGAGGCGAAAGTAAAAAAAAAAAAAATCCAGTATTCTCCTCATAGCTCTTAATTCTTGTGAAAAAAGTTATTAAAGTTCAAATAAGTCTCTCTTGGGCAGTGACTCATTCTAAAACCCTCTCAATAAGATTAATCAAGCCAGTTAACTTTGGTAAGAAAGACGAGCACAAGTAAAAACACATCCTGACTGTGGAAACAGATTTAAAACCATGCCAATAAACACTTACTGTACAAAACAAGAGTACAATATTATTGATAGCATATACATGATAGGGGTGGTAGATTCTATATTTACACCAGTTTTGCTTTATTTCTTTCATTTTAAACAAAGGTTAAAAAAACAAAAAGGTTGTTATACAAACAAACACAACTGTAAGCTTATAGACTGTTTTATAAAGGTAGACTGTAACAAAAGCAGGTGATAAATGGTCATTGTTTTTACTGATTAGCTGAACAGTGGTCTCTGTCTCTGTTTTATGAAAGCTGCTTTTTTGTTAATATTTGTGTTGGCTCTCAGTGTGTCATCCACCTGCCTCCTTAAATATTTGTGTGACGGTGCTTATGTGTGCCTATGTGTGACCATGTTTATGTCAAGTCATGTTTATGACAATCTTCCAGCTATTTGCTACATTTTGGGGACTTACTAAGTTACTGTTCTCTTCTTCGGGTAGGGGGTAGGTTTAGAATTAAGGTTAGGCACTAGAAATGAATTCTATATGAATGGAAGTCAATGGAAAGTCCCTACACGGATGGGTGTGTCTTTGTGTTCTTTGTTTTAGCTGAAATATTATGGAGCAGCCAGAATTAATCTCTTATCAGTTCACTAGGACATTGATTGTTTGAAATGCATGTAGTTGACCAATAAACAACCCAACTCTCTCTCTTCATAAACTGCAAACTGGAAACTTATTACTTCCTTACAAATAGCTCATGATATCGGAAATCTGGTTTTAATCTTGGCATTAAGAAGAAACTGATTGTTAAAAGATGGTCATTTAAATAAATTAGATGCCATAAACAGCACTTCTTGTGCACACTCCCCATAAAACTTGTATTTAGAACAGTGTAACAAAGTACTTTTGCATATTTGAATTTTAATCACCTGGTCCACAAATCATCAAATTAATTTAGAGCCACTGTAATATGGTCCATTGAGAGGTTTGATCTGTGTGTTTTAGGATTAGGGTAGCTCTTTCATTTCATAGGAATTTATTTTCTCTTTTATTAACAATATTATTCAGGTTGTTTTTACTGAGGTCAGAATCTATGACTGAACTCTGTAATCCACCAGACTGCTGCCAAAACTACCCACTCTGCATCAAATCCATCTTGAAAACTCATCCTTATCGCATCATTTAAACCGTCTCTGTATTTTCAAATGACAGAGGATTGTAAGAATTTCCCCTGAATAGCAGATATGTATTTCCGATCAACAGAGCTGAAACAGTTTGAAGGACTTGCAGATGTGTTGGAGCGACTTCAGACCTGACCTGCTTCTGTTTTGAAAACTGTACAGACTGACTGTAAACTGTGCAGCTGTTTAAATGCTCAGTTTGTTTACAGGTACTTTTCCAAACAGGGTTACAGCTTATAAGATTTTTTTAAGTGTTTTTAAAAATGTCGAAAGGATAGCCATGATTCATGATGGGGGTTATAAAATTACCGTATTTTCACGACCATAAGGCGCACCGTACTAAAAGGC